AATGTAGATAAACTGGATAAAACTTATAATGGATAGAAGAATTATTCCAAAGTAAACAGAGGGAGGAATGATAGGGAAAAGTTTTAGATTACTTAGTAGATTGAATATTAAGTTAGTTGTAGAAGCAAAATAAGTAATGTGTTCCTTTAAGATTTGGTTTTCCCAGAACTCTTGTTGTTTAAGGTGACATTAAGGTGACAGTTATCTGACTCTTTAACCAGTAACTTCATTAACCTAACAAAGTTGCAATGGCTGGGTGAATTTACAATGTATGTGTACCTATCTTGTGTCTGTTACTTGTAAATAGGAATTAGAATTGTATTTACACATCAAAGACCACTAGGGATGAGACAATGGCTAAAAAGGATATAAAAAGGAAATGCTGAACAAAGGGGTGTGCTGATACTAAGCAGACCGGTTTCTGGTGGTCCTGCCCACTTACAAGTAGAACTTTCATTATTTTACCCAAATTCTGTGTCTCCATGTATTTCTTTCAGAGATTTCCAGAATAAAACTAGAAGCCAAAAGTAAATTTATAAATTAGGTAACATTTGTTTAAACCAATTCCTCTCCTGCCTAAGGAATTTTCCTCAAGGGAAAGAGGGATTGAACCTCCTTTGGTCTCCTTTTTGGTCTTTGGGGAAACAGAAGATTCTAAACATCTTTTTTGGCAACTTTTAATTTTTGCCCAAACTAAGGATAAAGTTGATCTTTTTTCCCTTGTGCAGCTGAGATTGCTGTACCAGAGACCTGGTCTTTCTGGGTTGGTATTGGCTCCTGTTGAGGTGAAACCACTGGTTGGGGATGTTGGGGATTACAGCCTGGGGCCAGGGACTCCAGAGGGTCCCATGTGAGGAAGGTGCAAGAAGTGAATCATCTTAAATCTTATCAAATCCCCAAGTTTTTGAGGAAAGAGACAAACTAGTTTCTGGGGCCAACACAAGGCATAATCTATTTCCTCCCAAGACCCCAGTCTTTTATCATTAACAAATTCAATCAACAATTGATACATTCAGTCTTCATCCAATCCAAACTTTGGCTAAAAGACAGATGGGTCAAGGATGATGTTTGTGGCCAAATGAAACAATAATATTTTATCATCTGAGCTTTCATTTGGTTTTTCATCCATGAGTTGTTTTTTTTTTTTTTTTTTTTGAGTCCTCAACATCAGTCTGAGGGGAATATCCAGGAGGTATTTAATTCCCTGAGCCCCTTGATTCCCTAACCTGTCCTGACTTAGAGGCACATTGACTTTTCCATTCTGTTTGTTCCAAAGCCTAAGGCTCAATATCTGGAATGTGCTGAAATATCTTGCCGTTAGTTACTTTCAATTTACCCAAAATCGTCCTGACCACATCCCATGTTCCCAGTCTCAATCAATACTGTCCTCCAACCACCAAAGAAATACTTAGTCTGTGACTTTTCTTACCTTGGTTCATGCATGAAGCCTCCTGATTACCATGGTTTCTTGCCTCTGGGACCCTTTTAAGGTTGCTGATAGATCTTGTCTGGGTCTGGTGGTCTTAGACTTGGTTTCTTGTCCTGGAGGCCATGGCAATGAGGCTATGTGGAATGTGTTTCCTCCAGGAAGGAGTTCCACATCTCAGAGACCCTCAGGTCTCACTGTTGGGCACCAAAATTGTTGGAAATAAACCCCCAGACTCAAATTGTTGGTGATGGAAAGAATGCACTTAAATATAAAGTAAGAAGTCTGGACAACACATTTTACTTCTGCAGAAGGGTATATCATGAGGTAGCAGGCACACAGGACAGAAGAAGATTGCCCCTTTTATCCCTAATTCAGAATAAGCAGTTGACCTTTAAATTCACTGGTTGAATTCAGAGGCTTACAATTTATTGTCCTTGACTAACTCAAGTGGCACTTGGGTGTGAGGAAGGAATTGGTGCATTGCTGAGTAAGTCAGAGAGGGAGCATGAGGTTTGGAAGGAAAAATTCTTGGTTCTTTTTGTGAGGGAGTGGGTGGTTAGAGAGAGAGGATATGTGGTTGGAAATGGACAGTTCTTTGTTCTTTATCTTGGAAACTGACTATGTTCTGGGAAAACATACATGGTCACCATTTCTTGGAGCTTAGGATATTAACAGAGCGGGAGGTGGATAGTGAGATGGCCAGGTCATTTAAACCAAAAGTGAAGTTGTGTTGGCCTTGTGCTTTGACATAAAAGACAAAGCCTATTTCTCAAATTCTAAAAAAAAACTTTAAAGAGAATTCATGTGGGTAGTTTTGAAGTATTTAAATTATTAGGAATCTGTTTGCTATTTAAGCATCTATAAATCATAACAGTAAAAGAATATAATCCATTTTCAATTATACAATAGGAATAATTACCTGAAATTTTAAGAATGATTAAATGCTACTACATATGAACTAATTGTCTCAATTTTTGAAATAACTCTTAATTCTTAAAACAGTAGCATGGCTAACTCTCAGCAATTATTGGTTAAATAAATACAAGGATACTATATTTATTTAACATTTGTGTATAATAACTGAGGAATATTATTAACCAATTTAAAGTAAATTAGCAAAATAATATTGTATTATAATTACTTTGTTGTAATGATACACTGAGCAGTTTCTTCAGTACAAATGTGTAGCATACAAATTATGTACATCTGTACATAATTCAATAATACTTCTTGACAACAAAACAAAAATAAAATTTGTACTATTAAATGTAGTGCAAATATTCTGGATTTAAAAATGAGAATAATGATTCAAAGAAGAAAATATTCAAAATAAATTATTTTGAAAGTGTTTGTGGATAAAAAAAAGAATTTCAATTATTCTATTCCACAAATGCTGAAGAGTATCAGCATATAAGAATAATTTAGAAAAATTGGTTTTAGTGAAAGCTGGGAATTATTTACAAGTATTGGGAAAAACTCAGAAGTACTAATTTGAAATTGCTTCAAATCAATGATTAGAAAAATAACTTAGAACCACTTAAAGTTTGACTAAGAAAATCATTAAGATGGTTTCTTGAAAAGATATTATTTTGAGAAAATGGTAGGATGAATAATAGTTTCTTTTCACAACATCTATGATAATAAGTAATGATTAAAAATACACTGGTGGGTCTTCAAGAAAAATGAGGTGGGTTTTTCTTTGCATACATATTCCATCCTAGAGGTGCCTTGGGAAGTTGCTTGAACCCTTTCAACTCTTTGGGAGCTATTTTCCATGGTCTTTTGTCCACTTAATGCAGCTTCCCAAGGTTCCTGATGGCCATAAATAGGACAACTGGCTGGGCCAGGACAGGCTCTGGTAATCTTACCTTATCTAAGAAAATAAAACAATAGAATCAGTAAGCAAATGTCTTTGCATTATTTCCTTTAGTAAATATTTATTTATAAATTCATTTAATAATAATCTCATCCTACTTTTAAATATTGAACTTTAGCCACATCTGATGTGGTATGAACAAAACAAAAGGTTCGTTACTGGAAAATTGGAGATGGATGATGACACAGCAATTTTAAGAGCTGTATAAGAATGTTCCCCAGACACCTTTTTTCAGAGAGAGGTCAGAAATAGTCTGCTGCCATAAATAATCCAAGTGAAAACAAGAGTCTCTTTGGATGTAGAAAAAAGCAGGGAGAATAGTAGGGTGGGGCGGAGAACATTTTCAAAGAAAAAATTAAATTATGCATTTTATCTCTTATTTCTGCAATTATTTCAACTTTTAAGAAGTTCTGTAATTCTATAAATGATACACAAAAATTGACGTATTCTTCATATATTAGTATTATAATCATTAAAAGATTTATAAAACCTGAATCATTCAACCAATCACTAAAAAGCTGTTTCCCCTTCACCAGACTTTTACAGAAAAAAGTAGATTAGCACTTTTCCTTTAGAGTTTTTCTAAATTAGACTATTAGCAATTTTTACTATCCCTGGGAAAAATGGCAAAGCAGGAATGTTTGTAATCAGAGCTGCTCAATAATCAGAGATTAACCCCATTAAAGAACAGGCTTATATTTTAGTTAAAATAGCTGTGATGTCTGAACCAGACTTGGGGAATGGTGAGGAGTAGTCTAATGAAAAATGATGATCCAGAAAAAAAAAATGTACATTCTCCATTTTTACATTCTGCAAACCAAAAGAGAAAAGAACAAATATTGGAGAGGGAATATTGTATAAGGAAATCCACTGATAAATATTTTCAAGAATAACTTGCTGATTTAGTGAAGTGAAAGAGTATCTAGATTCTTAACATTGTCAGTCACATACAAATAGTGATTAAATGTTCTCTTGAATATAAGAAACCAAAATTCCATTATGTAGATAATTATAATTGCCTGTTAACAATATAATTAAAAATGGTTTCTTAAACTCTGAACTTAAGACTGCAAACATATTATTCATTGGAAGAATAACTAGAATGGATGAAAATACCAAACACTGTTTACAGGGGTAAAATAAAACAATATTTCTAATGTATGTATATAAACTAGAAACCTATAAAATTTTGAAAACGATAAAAGCCTCTGAAACCACTCCTCCTAAAGTATAATTTTTATGTAATTGTAATTATGTAGTTAAGGTCCCTTTTTATGTGTTTTACATACATTAATGATTAAATGCACCATCATTGCTACCAGTAAAGATTTTCTTTTAATCTTGATATGGCAAAAAAATAATAATTTCTACACCTTTGTAGTGTTGACATTCTAGATGTATGAATTATTTATTTAAACAAATTAAGCCTTTGCCATATTACAGCAATTGTATTGCTAAGTCTCAGAAGTGTAAAAACTGATTGTGTTTAATAAAATGGCCATTCATTTAAGTTAAGTGTATTAATGTATTGTTTTGTCTTGAACTGACCATTTATTTGAATGATTACATTAGATCAAATATTTGTGTCACCAAATCTATAAGCTCATTTATTTATTTAAAATTCAATGAAAGCATTCATTGAGTACTTACTACATGCCTGACATTGGCTAAGTGCTGATGATACACTAATGGAAAAATCACTTATGGTCTCTACCCTCAAGCTGATATAGAATTCACTTTCACTGACAGCCTGTCCTACCTATCACTGGATAAGGAGAAATAACCAGCTTTCATCTGGTAGTGTGAGGGTCATCATCCTTTTACCAGTGTGATTCTATTTCTGACCTTTGGTAATGAGGTGGAAATGTAATCATCTTGAACACTGGCCATGATTTCTTTTAAGGTAGAAATTATCTTTTTATGGGCATATACCTTGATAAGCCACTTGGGAATAGAGAGTGAACACAGAGGAAGCTGGATGCTTCAAAGTACCAAGACCACACTGTTCAACAGAATATGAGAGGAGAAATGTCTTTATTTTTAATAATAAGAAAAGAGAAGAAGAGCAAAGATAAAGGAAGGAGGTGGGAACCATAGTTATTGTGAGATAACAGTGCTCTCAGAGAAGTCAGCTGCACTCCAGTGCAGTGGACAGTCAGACAGTATTTTAGAACAGGAAATGAGACCATAATGTTCCATTTGGAGTTTTGTTATGGGTCTTGATTTTCATATTTCTGTAATATACACATTTCTTCTACTTTACTCAATTTCAGTACACCCTACAACTCTGTAGTTGCTTGCAGTGAGTGGATTGCCTGTGGAAACCATGGGCAGGGCTGGATTTTGTACGCTTTTGGCTGATACAAGTGGCTGTTGTACTTTGGAAAACAGCAACCCAAAGACAGATGTTACTATCAGAACATAAATCATCTTCACCTTTCAAAACTCATGAGGGTATTGGAGAGAGATTTAGACTCTCTCAGAGTGTTGAGACCAGAGCTCAAATCACTATCCCTGAGCTTCCTGGAAACAAGAGATTTCTACTGACCCCTAAGTCATACTTGTGTCAGTTCATTCTTCATTTTTTAAAAAAAATAAATACCTGATATTGGGTATATTATAAGGACAAAAGTTTACTTGGTTCATGGTTCTAAAGGCTGGGAGTCCAAAGGTACAGTGCTAGTATCTAGGGATGACTTTTGTGCTGCTATATCATGGTAGAATATGAAAGGACAGGAAAGCACATACAAATAAAGCTAGTTTTCAAGAGGCAACTGTGTTTTATAACAACTCACCCTTGTGATAGCTCACCCCCCTAACTATAACAACTCTCTTCATGAGGCTCTGTCCCATGACCCAATCTAGTCATTAGGCCTTATCTCCCAACACTGTGTTATTGGACATTAAGTTTGCAGTGAGTGGACTGGGAGAACTCCTTCAAACCATTGCATCTGTGCCCCAGAATCTGACAAGGGCTTTCTTGCATACTTCTTAGACTCCAATCCCAGGTCTTAGAATTTAGGACTTAGATCTATCTTACTAAACTGTTTAGAGAGTTTGGGACATGAATCCTGTCCTTCCCTTTACAACTTTTCTAACTCATTCACTCATTTTTTCAGTTCCTTCACTGGTATAATAGATGTTAAAGATAAAAAAAAAAATAAGTAAGACCCAGCCTTTGAAGTTGCTCATAGCCTGGGTGGCAATCCAATACAAATTTACAACAGTTGCAATAGAGGGTGATAAGAACTAGCATAGAAATGCGGCAAATACAGAAGACTTGTTTACAGC